TTAACCATGGTTTTGTCCCACGTTGGGTTTTCCTAGTAAGGTTTTTAATGAGGCAGCATGTCAAGGCATATTATGAAAGTGTTGCACTCTTTTTCCTTCACTAGGTTTTTATCCCATCGGGTTTTTCCTAGTAAGGTTTTAATGAGGCACACTATTTGATAATGGTCATCCAAGGGGGAGTGTTATATAATATATGTATTTAGTGGATGTCCATTATACCCTTATGATAATTCTGGGATATTCTAGATATACTATGTTTATTATTCTACAAGGAAACCCTAATTGTATCACACACACACACATATATATATATATATATATATATATATATATATATATATATATATATATATATATATATATATATATATAAGAATATCCATCTATTCTCTCCCCTACTTTCTCCTATTCCCTTTATTTCATAATATTTTTCTTATTTTATTTTATTTTATTTCTTTTCTTTTTTTTCTTATTCTTTCCTTTCTTTCTTTGTTGCTGTGCGTGGGAAATTGGGGAAACAAATCCCCCACCTCACGCATGTGGCTGCCACAATACACAACTCGTCGGCCCCGCTGCCACGTCACCACATCCGGCCACCTTTCGCCGGCAGTCCGGCCAACCGGCCACCACCACACGGTGGTCCTTCCTTCTCTCTCCTCCTTGTTTTAATTATTATTCCTATAATTATATATTTTGGGTATTGATTTTAATTGTTTAAACATGATTAGTATGTTTTACATTTATGTTTTGATTATTAAAGATTGCAAATTGTAGAGTATAAAATGTTTAAATTTCTGATTTTATAAAGTATTAAAAGTTAGGGTTTCAATTATAAAAGAGTTGATTTTTAGAATTCTAACTTGCAATTAATTTGGGGGTTTTATTTACCCATTGATTGTAAGTGATAATAAAGCTTAAAGATTGTATCTTTATGGAGTTTTAATGGGTTTTTGTTAATATAATAATGCTCGAACTTTTATTTATGTACTACTTTTGTGTTCTAATAAAAAGGGTCTAATTACCCATAAGTAGAGAAGGTTTTAATTGGTTTTAATGGAATTTTCGGATTTATCTGAGGGGTTTAAACCTTAAAAAAATATGCTGAAATTTTTATATAAACACTATAACTGAGTTTTTACTTTGTGGTTTTGATTACCCACTTAAAGAAAGAATTTTAGAGGTTTTAAACCAAAATTTTAACTTATTAGAGAGGTTTTAAAGTGTTTAAAAGTTGTTGGAAATTTGTGTAATCAAGGGAGTAATTGAGTTTATATATTTGGTATAGTAGGAGACTTTAAGTTAAGTGATTTCTAGCATTGTGGCTAGTTGGATAGATGATTTAAGGTACGTATGCGCCTAAGATGTATTAATTATGCGTAGTACCATGATAGGAAGTTAAATTGGTATCAAGTATGAGATTAGTATCGTGTTAAGTTGTTGTTGTGATACCTGGAATGATTGCTTGATTATTCATGTCTTATATGTAAGCATGTGAGTATGTTGAAATTATGATTATGAACTTGATACAAGTTGAAAGTAATTGAATCATGTTGTATTATTTATTATTCATCATCAAGAAAGCTAGTATTTAATAAGCAAGGCTTATGTTTATTGAAAAGGGTTAAAGTTATAATTATTAAGCATGATTCATGATTTTATTCTCACTCATTTATTATTGGAGTTGAGTCAAGAAAGTTAGTTTGTTTATTTGCTCACCCACATAAGTTGAGGTCGAGTCAAGAAGCTAGTTTATTTCTCACTCACATAAGTTGAGATTGAGTCAAGGAAGTTTAATTGTGCATTTTATGCACCAATATAGTAATCGTGCAATTTTGTGCCTAAAACTAGGCAAAGAAACAATAATTAAAATAAATAGTATGTGCTCACTAATTAATTCAAGAATGAATTAGAAGTATGTGTTGATTGTATTATGTTTGTTCTTGATTGATTGATTGAATCATCACAAGTTAAATTGGTAAATCACGTAAAGTGTAAGAGGATACGCACCAAAACTCTTGGAACGTATATACCTTGAATATGAACATATGGGGGGGAGTTATGGGGTTTTACATTTAACCATAACTTCTACAGGGATACAGAACGTTGTACTTTCTTTTATTATTTATGCGCTGGAATTCCGTCACAAGGTGACATAGTAGGTGTCAATTGGGGTAGCTCCCTAATTGGAAGCTTAATATTTTGATGGGCTATTTTTAAGGAAGGAAACTCGTTCGATGCGTTATCCAAAACTATATATTAATATATTAAAGTAGAGTCATGAGTCAAAGGTAAGTTGACTTGTGTTGTATGGCAAACATGTTTCATTTATTTATTTATTTAATTATTCATTGTCTATTGCTAGGATATTCATGTTAGTGTGATTATTCTTGTTAGTGCATATGTACTCAACTTTTGCTGATTCGTACTTTGTTGTTTGTATTTAGCTTTTCTTTGGATTGGCCCTACTATGACCTATTTTATATGGCGAGTAGTGAGGTTGAAATAGAGAGAAGTACAGGTAGAAGGAGCATATCAAGCATGATGGGATTGAGTGAAGAGGATTATATGTTTCTTTGTTTATTATTAATTGTATTGGACAATTTATGTAATCGTTGACGCTAACATTAATTATTGCTTTGATTTTTAGTTTGGTTTTTAAAAAGGGCCATTAATGACTCCAAGTTATTGGTTTAATGTAAGTTGGTTTTAAAGTTTGAGTTTGATTTTATTAAACTTTATTTCATTTGAGCTTTTAAAAGTTAGTCTTCCGCTGTGTGACTTTGAATTAAAATAGCTTTAGTCGTTTTCACAGTAGCGGTAATATTTTGGTTATTTCCTAAAAATGAGTTTTATTTAGAGTAAGAGTGTATTTTAAAAGAAAGGAATTTTCAGGGTATTACATCAATTTTCTTGATTAAGAAAGTGGAGTGGTGGACAGTGGGTGGTGGATGTTCGGTGGCTAGTGGTTGTTTATTGATGAATGTTGGGTTGCTGGTGGGGTAACAAGTTAGAGAGTGGTCAAATAAAGTGAAATTGAAATGGGGTACATTTTATAAAGGGGCATATTCGTAAATTCATGTTAAAATACGGGCATTATCCGGTAAATACCGCGTGTGGTTTAGCGATTCACATCTCTTTTCATCACATACGAAGTAAAACTTTATTTTTGTTCTCCATTTACGCAAAAAAAATTACTCTCTCTTTTTTTAAAACTGCCCTATAGTGACATAACACGCATATCGATACAAAATTTTGATTAATAATATCTTTAATTTTTTATAAGTTTAATATATAATAATTGAATATTAATAATCTATTCTTTGAGGTGATTTTATTAAGAAGACTATATTTTTTCCGTATAAATCACAAACATTGATAAAAGATCCAATGAATGGTGCCAACATTACTAATGGAGCACTTAGAAAAATGGAGGGAGAATTATTCTAATTACAAATATGGAGTATTTAGATTTTTTTTTTTTTTTGGTAAAAAGAAGGGCTATACCGGGCCGAAACATCTCACAGGTCCTCTAAACCCGAGTTAATGGGCTAGGCACTTTGAGAGTGGGGGTGAAGGGTAAAAGAATCTCACCGCAAAGTGTCTCTAGTGGGGTTTGATCCCACAAACTTACCAACTAGATCAAACTCAGCTTGGTAATACGGAGTATTTAGATGAACCGATAAAGATAGTGATAATATTACTCGTATAGTACTAAGTAACTGTCAAACCCAATCCAAACCACCCCAAAATCATGCAATGTCCTTCTCTTTCTTTTTCTCTCTTACTCTTTCACCTCTTATATGTGAGGACTGAGGAGAGAGAGATTGAAAAGTGAGGAGGAGGAGAGAAAAAGTGTTTATTTGTGTGAGAAAAAGTGAAGAAGGAACAACAAAACAGAAGAAAGCTAAATTATTTTAATTTTTTTTAAAGGCTATAATGGGAAGAATTCCATAATCAAAGGAGCATGCCAATTGCAATTTTAGGGCAAAATAGTAATTAGACTTTTTTAGGGACATTATTGTCTTCACACTATTACTAGGGGAATTTCACCTATAAGTTCTCACTGTGTTGGGGCTTTTAGAGGTTAGGGATAGATGTTAAAGTAAAATTTGTATTAAGAATTATATTTCAACAAGTCACTCACCAATCTTATTTTATTTCGTAATCCGTATAATTTGTAAGTTTGAAGATTTTATTGACTTGTTTTTCCTAACCAATAAATTGTCATAATTAGTGGCTTGTTTTATTATGCATTGAAGAGTCAAGTCTGAGTGAGTTGTCTTATTATGCATTGAGTAGTCATAATCCGACAAGCCCAACCCGTATCCTAAGATTGAATGTGTCCCCGAGCTTAGAGGGGATATAGATAGGAGAGATTAATGTCCAACTATGGTTGTGCATGCTCTAATCGAAATGTTGGTGGTAGATGAATGTCCTACCGGGCAACCCCCATATAAATATTTAGATGTTCGGATTGATAAAAATAATGATAATATAGCCGTCCTCTCTCTATTTTTTCTCTCTAGGGTTCTTAAAAAAAAGTGTTTCATAGATCGGAAATAGTCAAATATCTTCGGAAATTTGGCTATTTCCGACCCTTTCTCTTTAGTTTCTTTATATTTTTGTTATTAATTCAATAAATCTACATTTTTTGAAGGTAGTAAGTACTCCTATAGTGGGTTTGAGTGTAGTAAACGCCCCTATAGTAGGCTTCGTTCTAGTTTTGTTTTTGTTTTTGTTTTTCTAGTTTAGTATGGTACAAGTTGTTTCATGGGTAAAGATTTGTGCGGGATCGAGAAAGAGGTTAATCATTCAATTACATTTAGATGAATCAGACAAAAATTTTCTTCACGACTACAACAGATCGATAGACCCTCTCGTTGAAATAGGCTGTAAATCACAGCGATATGAAAGAGGATATGAAGAAGGTACGATTTGCAACAACGATCATAACTCTGCTGAATGAATGTTTTTATCTGATTCAACTATCATGTACAAGTATTTATTTTTTATATTCAAATCTCTTTATATATGTCGTATGACTTTTTATTTATAAATCGATTTTTATTATAAAAAAAAGAAAAGAAAAAAAAGATAGTGATAATATTACTCGTACTATGTAATCCCGCCAAACCCAATCCAGACCACCACAAAAAAATCAAGCAATGTCTTCTTTTTCTTTCACCCCTTTTTCTCTCCTCCCCAAACCCACCTCACCTCGTTTCCACCCCATCAAATTCTCCCTCTCCCAACCACCACAACCACCACCTAACCCAAAACCCACCAAACCCGAACCCAAATTTAAGTCATGGGTCAGCCCAGATTGGCTCACTTCCTTAACCCGAACACTAACCTTCACCCAAGACGATTCCGGCATACCCATTGCCAGTGCTAAGCTCGAGGATGTTTCTGAGCTTCTTGGTGGTGCCCTCTTTCTTCCCTTGTTTAAATGGATGAACACTTATGGACCCATTTATCGTTTAGCTGCCGGCCCCCGGAATTTTGTGGTTGTCAGTGATCCTGCTATTGCTAAGCATGTTTTGAGGAATTATGGGACCAAGTATGCTAAAGGTCTTGTTGCTGAGGTTTCTGAGTTCCTTTTTGGCTCCGGTTTCGCCATTGCCGAAGGCTCGCTTTGGACGGTAACTTTTACTGCTTTTGAATGTTTTTGATGATTTTAAGTTGCTTATCTTATGTTGTTGTTTAATTTGTAATAATTTATTGTAGACCGGGTCCATACAAAACCTTCCCTGTAGTTGCTTCTTTACATGTACTAGTATTAGTAATTCGTAAATGAGAATTGTGATCATTTTTTGGACTTACATTACAATGCTGCGTATATAATCAGATAATATAGGATTTGATGGTCTAAATCGAAGTGTTGAGTGTTCATACCAATGTCGGGGTTTGTAGATTTGACACGGGTACTTGGGTAAATTAAAGAGTCCAAAAGCCTATTAACCACGAGCTTCCTTTGATATTTTTTCCAAGGTTGGCTTTAAGGTACGGATTTCGTTTTCTTAACCAGCATTGCTCAACTTAGCTTCTATAGTTATTGAAATTATTAATCTGTCCTTTGTCTAAGCATACTATAGTTAGGTATGGAAATTAACATGCACGGCTAATGCTATTTAATGTTGTTTGATTTCATTTAACTTCTGCTTACTTTTGAGGTTTGTTGAGTGAGTGATATTGAGGTAGCTACTAATATATAGTCATGTTATTATGGCAATGTTGGTTCTAGAAAATTTTCAAACCCTTGAGCATGGTAGTCTAAGTTTTTCATAGGCAAGGCGCAGGGCTGTTGTTCCGTCACTTCACAAGAGGTATCTATCAGTAATAGTTGAGCGGGTATTTTGCAAATGTGCTGAAAGGATGGTGGAGAAGCTAAAAGCCAGTGCAGCCAGTGGTACATCTGTGAACATGGAGGCCGTATTTTCACAACTTACGCTCGATGTCATTGGCCTATCATTATTCAACTACAATTTTGAGTCGCTGACTACTGATAGTCCAGTCATTGATGCTGTTTACACTGCACTAAAAGAGGCAGAGAATCGTTCTACTGATATTCTACCATATTGGAAGGTAAGTTCTTGTTGGCGCAACTTGTTTTTCTTTTGCCTTTGTCCTGGATACTGTATGCCACCATAAATTAATGTTGTTTTCTAACAGGTTAAAGCCTTGTGTAAAGTTGTTCCCAGACAAATAAAAGCTGAGAAAGCAGTTGAAATCATCAGAGACACTGTCGAAGAGCTTATTGCAAAGTGTAAGGAAATCGTCGAAGCTGAAGGTGAAAAGATAGATAATGAAGAATATGTCAATGAAGCCGATCCAAGTATATTACGTTTCTTGCTGGCTAGCAGGGAGGAGGTTTGTTGATGTTAAATTACTTTCATACTTACATTACCTAGCTTCTAAAATACTATTTCCTTGATAGAGCATCGCCAACATAGTGGATAATAACCTAACTTGGTCTCACTAACTAGTAAGGGCAAGATAGGGTCGAACCCATGAAAGACATTGAATTAACCACCAAACACAATTGCGTAAAAAGCCAACTCAAATCAGGTGTGAAAAGGATTTTTAATACTAAGTACAAATTCAAAGCAATTTTTTAGAGAAAAAAAATGTAAATTATAATGATAAGAAAGCCTAAGTTAAGGGCTACACCACTTAATTTGATCACAAGATTGCAATTAGGTATAGGGGAAAGAAGATTATAGGGGATAGATTAGAAAATATCATTTAAGATACCCAAACTACCCTATTGAGCTAGAAGGGTTAGCTTGAATCATGACTGAAATTGTCTTTTATAGTGATTAAATTCAAGTTTCCCAAACTAATTAGTGAAAGTATAAGTATTCTTACCACAAACTAAGACAAAATGCCTAGAGAAAATAATGGTCTGAAGAGGTTGAGTCTCTCAAAAAAAGGGCAAAATACACTCTAATTTCAGACATATAACAAGGCATCAAACTCCCCAATGCATTGTTATTTCGTGCAGCACGCTTATGCCACTTTTGGCACGTCTGTATTGCTGTGTAGAAGCTTAAATTTTTTTTTGTGCATCAGATTATGGTCTTCCAAATTATGGCAAGAACCTTTGTTGCTTGAAATGTTTTAGGCATAAGTGCAATGTTAGAGGCGATATGCCATTTTCTTGTGGTTTCTTCTTTTCAGAACTCTGTGATTACTTTAGGAGCCAAACATACTATAAAGTTATTCACTGCTAAATGCTGCTCTTTCTTCAACTCCTTGATACATATACCCTAGAAAAGCCGCCAACTAATGGTGTAAACTACTTTTTCATTTCCCACCCTTCTCGCATATTACTTATCTATGAGCATTAAAGTTATAGGCATGGCTGCATCATTACTTTGTTTGGATTCCTCACAGTAGATAATTTCATTGTCATGTCATCACTCTGCTTAAGGTTAATAGATTTAATATTTTCCTGTTGAAGGGTGAATGTGAGTATGACAATTTTAAATGGTACGGTAAGATATCTTTTTTATAAAGAAACTTTTTTAGTTTCTTGGATATATGGACTAAGGACAGCGCTTTATTTGTCTATGTTCTTTCAAGCTCATCTGGAAGCCCGCATCAGTTGATTAATCCATTTTCTTTGGACTGCAATCTTTCTCAAGTTTCATGTATGATACATGACTGCAGGTATCAAGCATACAACTACGAGATGACCTCTTGTCAATGCTAGTTGCTGGGCATGAAACCACTGGTTCAGTGTTAACATGGACAGCGTATCTTTTAAGTAAGGTATTAACTTGCATCTGTTTATCTTAAGACATATCTGGCATGAAATTTTTTTCATAAACAGAACTTGGATGAGGGGTCAATCAAGAAATTATTCTGGTAAACTTTTTCAGGATCCTTCATCTTTGTCAAAAGCAAAACAAGAAGTCGACAATGTTCTCCAAGGAAGGCTTCCTTCCTACGAAGATACCAAAGAACTCAAGTTTTTGACACGTTGCATATTAGAGTCAATGCGTCTGTATCCACATCCTCCAGTAGGTCCTCAATCTTGGTCATGCAATATAGACTCATTCCTAATATGTAAATTGGCTACTTAGAGAATTTTCTGCGTCACTATTGGTAAAGGTTTTGATAAGAAGAGCTCAAGTTGACGACACCCTTCCTGGAAATTACAAGGTCAATCCTGGTCAAGATATAATGATATCAGTATACAATATCCATCATTCATCTCAGGTATAGATCATTACTCTTCTTGCGGACCATGCTTTCCCAGTTACTCTTGGTACACAGTAACAATTATTTTAATTTTTCGCTTTAATTATTTTTTTTTATTTTTTCATGGTTAAGCAATAATTTTTTTCTTTTTTATCCGGAAAATGTACACTTAATGTAATGGACTATCTTTAACTGTTTTAGTAGTAGCTACACCATTTCTGTGGATGTTAAGAAATCAAAATATCAAGCCTTTCCAGATCTGAGTTTTAGTTAGTTACATTCAGCATGATAAGCTATAACTTCAATCATGAAAGAATTCATTCAGCCTTAACCTCCTTTTTGTTCTCATATTTACACTCTCAAACCCATGTATATGAACCAATTTGAAGCACTTTTATTATTATTATTATTTTTTTTTTTGAAGTTTTAGCTGCTGTGTAAACAATTACTATCTGTATAGGAATTAAGTACTTCCTTTGTACATGAACTTCTGTTTCCTTGTGGTCAGTTGGTCACGTTTATCACTCTACCAGCTTTGCTTCTGAACAATGTGTGGTATCAATGTGAAATTATGATTTTGTATAACTTTGTGCTAATTATACTGTATTAGGGTAGCTATTCCTTAGCAATCCAGTATTCCTGCTTATTGGTTTTGTTTCATGTGCTCTGTCTGAAAAGGTGTGGGAAAGGGCTGAAGAGTTTGTTCCAGAAAGGTTTGATTTGGAGGGTCCAGTTCCTAATGAAACAAACACTGATTTCAGGTACACATCTTGTTAGCCGTTTTATTGAAATGAGTCTAATGCTTATAGCTTTCGAAATTCAGAAAAAATAGCTAGCAGAAAATAGTATATTCCACATCAAAATCCGCTGGTCGTAACAGATGACATTTGGCAATTACATTTTCTGATTTCTTTTCAGGTTTATACCATTTAGTGGAGGACCTCGTAAATGTGTAGGTGATCAGTTTGCTTTGTTGGAAGCAATTGTAGCTCTTGCAATCCTTCTTCAGAACATGGATTTTGAGCTGATCCCAGATCAGGACATTACTATGACCACTGGAGCAACTATCCATACAACAAATGTAATTCTCTTCTTCCATAGATATATTTTCATGCTGGAATCATTTTGCGAAATTGCTTTTTTTAATTTCATATTCAAAAGAGACAGGAATTTTTTGACTGAGACATTTGTTGTCCTAAAAAACCTAATTCATGCATGACCTTACTTTCTTTATCTTTCAGAGGATTTTTTTTTTCTTGTGGCCATGCACAAGTTGCATGATGATGTTTTATCTTTGTTGTGGAAAACTTAGTTTAACGTTTGCTTGATATGTATCAATATTGCTAAGTGAAAGACACTGAATTTGGCACTCTACACATGTGTATGTCCATAATATTCTGGTTACAGCATCTAAAAACCTTGTAAGTTGGCGTTATCTTATCCAGTTATTTAAATCAGTTTGTATCTTACCTTTCCATGGATTGGTCAATATCTTACTGAAATATTATGGTCTGTTAACAGTGTAACCTATAAAGCATCATGCTCTTCCTTGTCTGTGACTGCCTTCCAAAAAATGTTATTCTTGTATCTAAATGTGGGATGGTATTCACTTACTCAACATAAGGGATCTTATTGTTTTGCTGGTGTTGGGAAAAGAGTATTAAAGTAGTTTATTGTATTTTGACGCATTAGATCTATAGAAGAGCTCATAAGATCTTAAAAATTCAAGTAAATTTTACGTGGAGTTTCGGTGTAAACCCCTCATTACAACCATGTGGTTTTTCCTGATATTCCTAGAATTTGCGTTAGGACTAATACACGTAATTTGATTTTGTTGCAGGGCTTGTACATGAGGGTGACTGAACGTGCAAAAGAACCCATACTTGCTACATGATTATAGGTAAGAACATACTGCTGTGTAATGGAGTGTATAAATGTCAGATTGCATGATAGTAATCAATATGCATATGTCTAGGGAAAAAGTTCTGGAATCCTAATGTACTTATTCCTTGCCTTTATTTGCTTGTAGTTATATTTCACTAGATCTTTCTTGATTCCACTTATTTCTTAATTGGATTCATTAATGCTCACAAAAGTTCAAAAATCCTTGCCAATTGATCTGCTAAAGAGTATCGATTGCGGAGTATGAAGCTGATTAGTATTCCATAATATTTAGACTGATGTTTACATTTGTGCATGGGCAGTTCAGTCATATACTTATTCCATATATATGTAACAATCGCAGCTGTGATTTTTGTGTAACTACTTGTATGTTACGTTTTATGAGATGCATGGGATTTTTTGCACCTCACATTTTAGAACTATAGTTTTCGCCATGGTGCTATCCCCCCCGCACCCCCCCCCTCCTCTCTTCATTTCATTTATTTTGTTTATTCCCTGCTTTCTTCAATTCTGCTGAAGATCAGTATATGTCAAGCTGCTTCTTTTGCCAATATGAGGGGAAAAGCTATAAGGAAATTTATAGCTACTAAGCTTGTCATTGTCTTAGGTGTTCATCAAATGAGCTGGCTTTTTTCATGCTGCGGAATGCATTTGTTGTGCCATCTAACAAACTGAAGCGATCTTCTGCCGTGTTGTCAAGACAGTTTGAAGCTTTCAAATCTCAATTGCTGCTGCAAAGCGGAGTAACCTCAATTACCAACTGTTGAATCAGTGAACAATAAGAGATCGATTACATCCCCTCAAACGGGTTTAGATGTGTAAAAAATAGAAAACAACTATAAGATTCTTGTACACATATTTTTACATACATAATAGTTGATAGTTCAGCCATAATTATATGCGACTATGCGAGTCTTCCGTAATACCTATCTTAAGTCGAGGAGCATAACAATATGTCTGGATAAAGAAAGGGGAAGGAAAAGAAGGGGAGGGAGGAGAAGAGGACGGGAGAGAAAAGGAGGGGAGGGAAGAATGGTGAGTTTTCCTTCCAAATCTTTCCATTGTTAGAGGGATCAATTTCCTACAATTTAATTACTCTATTTCTCTCCCCTTCAATTCCCTTCCTTCTTCATTTGTTATCCAGATGAAAGATACTCCATCTCTCCATTTTCCTTCCCTTCCCTTCCTTTCCCTCCATTTCCTTCAATCCAAACACACCGTAAAAGAAATGTGACATACTTGGTGCTTCGTATAAATTAAGGACATAAAGGGTACATTATAAAATTCTTCGTTAATAATCTTCGTTCAAATGATCTCAAATTATAATGACTAAGCACAAAGGAGTGAGACAATGAAAGTAACTTGAACTCACCAAGGACAAAGATTTGAGACACAATTCGTGGCTATGGTGGCAGATTCATCCTAGTAGAAAGATCAAGGCAGTGATTTTTCACGGTGATTGTTTCCTACACTTACATGAAAATGCCTTTTCAATGGGTTGTTTAATGGAATAATTGTCAGGAACTACTCGCTTAACATGTTAATTTGTTAACAACTACTCGCTAAAAAGTTTTATAAAAAAAACTACGTCCAAAATTTAAAAAGTTTGACTAGCACTACCTTTTTCATTTTCCGGCAATAATTCCGGTGAATGGAGGCTATTTGTTATTTTTCCTCCCAAAAAAACATCTTCACCCTCGTATATATAAACCAACCCTCCTATTCTTTACAAAAACTCAACCCAAAACACCAAATTTTTGTGAAAACCAAATTGTTTTTCCTTCTTTAATTGGCGATTTTCACAAACATTTGGTTTTTTGGATTGAGTTTTTGCAAAGAAGAGGAGGGTTGGTTAATATACACGAGGGTCACGATGTTTTTTGGGAGGAAAAATAATAAATGGGCCCCACTCACCGGAATTAGTTGCCAGAAAATGAAAAAGGGTAGTGCTACTGTAGGCGTCATTCGAAACGCGCCTACGTAAGCATGTTGTGAATATGCTTGGCACTCTTAGCAAGTGAGAATTGACATATACGATTAGGGACAAGGAAAGTAGGGAGCCACCAACAAGTTTTTAAGGAACTTGTAAACCGTTCATGGATTATTAAAAGGCAACCACGAATAAGGGACAACGATAGGCAATAATGATTGACCCGTGAAAGTTACACCCCATTCATAATCCATGAGATTATTAACTCCATATGGTTCGAAACCACGAAAGGAGGATCGGGGATGATGGTACGAAGTGAGTCAGGGAGTCACATTTTCCCGTATTGGCCTCTACTTGATTCTTATTGCGAAAAGTATTTCCTGCGATCTCAAAGGCATACAAACAAAGATTCAATTTGCTCCAAACTAAATTAGGATAAATTGGTTGAATCTTAATGCACTCATATGATTCTAAATATCGTGATCACTTGATTAAACAATAAGATTAAAAAGGAACCTAAACAGGACGTCCAAATTATCTTATTAAGCGTTATATTCTTACATATTCCCTTTAAACATGCAATATGGTAATCAATAAATATAATAAGAACAACATCAACATTGGAAGCAATTTAACCATAAAAATAACGATTAGTATATGAAAAACATAATAAAAACCGTTAGAAATATAACAGGAACAAAAGGAACATGATTTCTTACTTTGATTGCTTTTGCTTTGCAACTATAAAATAATAAATGCGTTAGTAACTTCAAGGAAAATTAATAAACAATAATGAAAATTAAATTAAATTAAAGTAGAGTTGATTTGGGGCCAAACCTTCAAACAGTTCTACCTTTCACGCCTTGGTTTAAGTTTAGAATTTCGGGTAAAGTATGGATTCCGGGGAGTGCTTAAGGGATGTATTGTGAAAGAATAGGGAAGGCTAGTGTTTAGGCTAGAGTATAAGAGAGAGAGTATTTTTGGTCCCCCGAAACTGAGAAATCAGCCTCGTATTTATAGAGGAAATGAGAGGTGTGAGGTCCGGAAACCCTAGAAATGAAGCACCGCGAACACTAAACCCTAGAAAATTGCCACGTCACGGCAGAAATTGCCGTGATAAGGCAGAGAATACCGTGGCGCGGCATTTCTGTCGTGACACGGCAAATCCCTTTTCTGGAATTCCGTCCAAATTCATTTCTATCTTTTTGTTTAAGATTAAGCACGTGATAATTAGGCGCCGTTTCAGCTATTCCGGACTTATGGCAGATTTAGGGTTTTAATATTTATTAATCGGGCCTAATTAATAAATAAAATGAAATGGATTAAAAATGGTTTGGGCTAAAATGAGGGTTGGACTATGCTTTAACTAAACACTTGGACTAATCTGTGGACTGATTTGGAAAATGTGTTTGACTGAATGTAGATTTTAAGCACTTTCGAGATCAAATACTCGACCAATAATGGCGGTGAAAGGTTGTTCATTATCGGGTTTGGTTTTGGGGAGACATTTTTAGATGTCTATATAAGCCCCCACTTTGACCGAGTTTGTATAAACGTGAGTTTCGAAAACGATAGTTAAAGTAGTCGATTGGGACGGAGAATGATTTAAGACGTTTTGCGATCCTAAATCACTCTGTATACGCCGGTACCTGCAGAATAGCGTTAGTTCCACAGATAAAAGAGCAAAGGGTATAGAACGCGTATCTGACACCAACGCATGGCAACAAACACGTTTGGTAGTTTTCTATGCCTCGAAAAATCCAATGGATGATAATTTTCCATGCCTCGGCAAGACTGATATGAGATATTTTCCACCCCTTAGGAACCCTATCGTGAGCTCCTACGCCTCGAGCAACTCACAAGTGAAAGGTGACAAGTTTCCACGCCTCGGGCAACATGTCGTAGACTCCTACCCCTCGAGCAGCCTACTGAATGATGATTTTCCACGCCTCACGCCTTGGTAACCCTATTGTGAGCTCTTACGCCTCGAACAACTCACTGAATTATGATCCTCCGCACCTCGGGAAGATTGACGTGTGATAGTTTCCGCGCCTTGTTAACCCTATCGTGAGCTCCTACGCATCGAGTAACTTACAAGTGAAATTCCATGCTCCAGGAATAACATTAAGTGTCCGCGCCTCGGGACACAATCGCCTACCTCTACGCCTCGAGAAGTGTGCAACGATCGACAATTTTCCGCGACTCGGGAAAAACTTGTCTGATGATGAAAAATTACAAGTCTCTATGCCTCGAGAACCTTGCAACGTGAATCATCCGTGCCTCAGGAGATGATCAATAGGTGTTTGATAAAATGTCTGATGATGATTGGTGAGCCTTTTAAGGCTGGCATATTCGACCATATAGGTGCCAGAAAATGATGAAATCATGATATTGATATTTGCTAAGGGTAAAATGGTAATTTTGATTCCATTTAAATATCAGTTGGAATTTCTCGCGTGTTTTCGGCGAAGAAATAACTACCAAATAATTACACAAACTCATTCAAACTTGGTCAAAAAGCATCGGGAATATTCGCTGAAAGCTTGCAGAGTAGTACAGAACACGCGAGTTTGCCGCGTCACGTGGCAAATTGCCGTGACACGGTAATTTTTTCCGTCACGCAGCGTATTTTTCCGTTACGTGGTGAATTTGTTGTGACACGACAAATTTGGCATTAGTTTAAATTCGGGCAAAGCCCGATTTTCTTCATTTTTTCGCTGCTCGACCTTTTTCGCGACTGCTGTTGCTGTTTCTTGCTCGGATCTTCACCAAACTTGCTCAAATTTCTTGGATAGCTTCTTATTTTCACATCTGAACACAAATCCATGTAAGTTTTCAGCATTTATGTTGATTTTTGCCGAAAATTATGATGTTTTCGCGTGAAGAACCCTAAAAATGGAATTGGGGGTTTTCGATTTTGAGGTTTTATGATGAAATTATGCTATGATTTTGCTTGTTTATGAATATATATTGGTTTGTGAGAAATTTGAGACTAATTTTGCTTGATTTGGTGAAGAAATGGACAAACCACCATTTTTGGGCACTCCTTGTACGTGAGCACGATTTGTAAGCACGATTTTTGGTGTTCTTCATGTTTCTCTTGTTGATTTGCACTTGAAATGATAATATAATTGCTGTAGATCTTGTAGAAAATGCTTTGATGCAGATCTGTTGTTTTGGTGCATGTTTGAACATGCTTTGTTTTTGTACATGTACTACATTGCCATGGAGCACATAGTATCATGCAGCTAGGCGAACTGTAGTATTAGTTTGTCATGGAGAAACCAAATACTAAAAATGATTCCATTATTTTGCTAATTTTTAGCCATGAGGTAAAAATTTAGCGTATAACGGAAAATATAGCCTTACCCTCTAAGCTGTCTTTGAGCAAATGACTAAATAACTTAGGAAGTGATGCTAAGTATTTAGATTTTTACTTCTTTTTTGAACCAAATAGCATGCCTCGACGACGAGATAAAGACGTTTCTGCTCGCGGCCAGCGTCGGGCCTATAGAGAGGACACTCCTTCAGTTGCTGAGGAGAAGGAGGACGAGGTTTTACAGCCCAAGCCACGGGCTTCTACCAGCAGGAGCAGGTGGACACCACCTGAGTGGACCCCAGACCAGTTGGTTTTCTGCCGTGAAAACCACATTTCTCACAGTCCGCATGTTGGTTTAGTTGATGGTGTGCTTCGCCATCACGGCTCGGGATCAGGAGATTTGATCCCCAGGTTACACGATCGTATCACGAGGGATCCTGCTACCCGTGCTTTGTGGGAGTCCACCGGTCTGAGTGACTTTTACACGGCGGTTTCTGGGTTTTATAGCCCCTGAGGCTGCAGTTCGACCATTGTTCGAACCTTGTTGGAGTATTTTTGGGATACTACCAACACCTTTCATTTTGCTTGGGGGGAGATAATAGTGACCCCCCCTAGAATTTAGCATCATCAGCGGCTTACACTTCAAAGA